GAGAGAGAGATACTCTTGCTCATCGCACTTTTCAGTTTTTATTCATAAAAAAGGTTTTGAATCACATATAAGTTTCTTTGAACTTCACAACTGTATAACACTCTGTGTTGGTCTTTCCAATAAAATATATTCATGTTTCTGGTTGTAATGTGCCAAAAATAAGCAAATGATCAAGGGGAGTATGAATACTTTTGCAAGCCACTATGATATTATAGCTGTGATTTCTGTTGTATATTATGATGAGTTCTGTTATCATATATATTGGTTATCTGTTCCTGTAGGTCCGTAATTAGGACCTATTCTGTAATAGGTCCATAATCTAACAAACACATCTATGTTGAAATATCTAAACATAGTATGAATTGCTTATTTTTGCTCAGTCTGTGTACTCTGCTTGTTAACTGTTTTCAACTACTCACTATAAACAATATCAGGGGTGTCTGGCTGGTTTTTTGTAACGTCAAAGTCGCCTTCATGTCGATGCCAAGGTTGGACTGAATGATAGAATTTTAATACCTAGTCATAATGAATGGTGTATAACATATTAAATTTTAAGGATTTTAACCTTCTGTTGCAATAACCTGGCCTTTATGTTTTTCTGTTCAGGTTGCGATTCTATGTAATCATGACAAGTCAAAGGGAGCTCTTCCCCCATCTCACCGCTGATATGCGCCGCTTCAAGAAGCTCCCTCAGATTTACCGTGATCCAAATGAGCAGGGTAGTCGGCTCCCCCGCGATCGAGCAGAGAGCACCGGGTCAAGTGGAGATGGCCATGATCTGTGGGAGGAAAAGTCATCTGAAGCTGCCACTATCTCAGCCCCTAGTGATGGCAATGAATTTTATCCTCTGACAGGAGGTGGGCCAGGGTGTCAGGGGCTGGTCTACAGCTCCCCTCTATTCCCTTTGCTCAACAATGAGGTGGCTCTGGCTCGCAAACAGATCCAAGCCAGTGTGGAGCAGGCCATGGGTCACTGCCGCCGGGATAACCTGTGGAGGAGGCTGTTCCATGGAGATCATGTGTCCCTGGACAAATTAAAGCTGGCCAAGCTGTCATTCACAGAACTGGAGGAGCTGCTGCAGGCTGTTCAGAGCCATTCAGTGGGGGACATTGACCCACAGCTGGTAAGAATATTTACTCTTTAAACAAAGTAATGTGAAGAAATGGAGAAATCCAGTCAGACTAAATCTCATAAATTAAAGAGACAACGTGTCAAGCGACACACCTTGTTGTTAGTTTGTGTTGTTGTGTAACCCAAACAGGTCCATTTGGTGAGATTTAATAAACATTTAGAATAAAGACATAGCGACATGATTAGTAGATGTTTCCTTACAATAAAATTTCCTGCCACTTTGTTTAGTGTGTACAGTTACCTTAAACTTCCACTATTATTATTTATAAAATCAGTGCTTTGTTTTGTCTAAGATTAAATCTCTTGTTTACTGGTTTTAAGATCTAATAAAACATAATGTTGAGGAGATCGGAATAAAAAAAGATATGCATGTTTCTCAAGTTTAACCCGTTGTCCTTTCCCCAAGACTAGTGAGTCAAAAGATTTTGTCAGGGACTGTAGGGGCTCTGCAGGAGCAGAGTATTAATAGGGTCATAGGAACTGCTGATTTCATCATGTTAATCCACAAAATCATCCAGAACATTGTGTGACAAGAAAAGAATCATGGAATTACAAGTAATGTGAAGGGCTTTTGCAGAAGAAATCAATGCAACACAAAACTTACTTTCCGGTTACATTATTTGTGTTATCTGTGTTATCAATCAATCAAATCAAATTTTATTTGTATAGCACATTTCAGCAGCAAGGCATTTCAAAGTGCTTTACATAATTAAAATAAAAACAGCATGTGACATTAAATAAACAGTGAGAAAGAGAAAGACATTTTGAAAAAGATTAAAAAAGATAAGAACATTAGACAGTGTGACAGAGAAATAAAAATAAGTTAATAAGTAGATGAAAACTAAAGATAAAAACATTGAAAACATCGAAGACATCAAAACCCGCAGTTTAGTCATAAGCAACTCTAAACAGGTGGTTTTTAGTTGAGATTTAAAGGCTCTCAGTGTTTCAGCTGTTTTACAGTTTTCTGGAAGTTTGTTCCAAATTTGTTGTGCATAGAAGCTGAATGCTGCTTCTCATCGTTTGGTTCTGGTTCTGGGGATGCAGAGCAGAACCAGAACCAGAAGATCTGAGGGGTCTAGACGGTTGGTACAGCAATAACAGATCTTTAATGTATTGTGGTGCTAAACCGTTCAGTGATTTATAAACTAACAGTATTTTTTAAAGTCTATTCTTTGAGCTACAGGGAGCCAGTGTAGGGACTTTACAGCTGGTGTTATGTCTCTATCTTCCTGGTTTTAGTGAGAACAGCAGCAGCAGCTTCTGGATCAGCTGCAGCTGTTTGATTGATTTATTAGTCAGACCTGTGAAGACGCTGTTGCAGTAATCAATACGGCTAAAGATAAACGCATGGATGAGTTTCTCTAGATCGTGCTGAGACATCAGTCCTCTAATCCTAGAAATGTTCTTCAGGTGATAGAAGGCCGACTTTGTGACTGTCTTTATGTGGCTCTGAATGTTCAGGTCAGAGTCCATCACTACTCCCAGGTTTCGGGCCTGATCGCTGGTTTTAGTTGTAATAATTGAAGCTGTGCATTGATTCTAGTTCGCTCCTCTTTAGGTCCAAAGATAATAACTTCAGTTTTGTTTCTGTTCAGCTGGAGAAAGTTTTGGCACATCCACACATTTATCTGTTCTAAGCATCTGTTCAGTGATTGGATGGGTTCAGAGTCACCTGGTGACATCGTGATGTAGAGCTGTGTATCATCTGCATAGTTATGGTAGCTGATCTTATTTCCTGTTACAACCTGAGCCAGTAGGAGCATATAAATATTGAATAAGAGGGGTCCTAGGATTGAACCTTAGGGTACCCCACATATGACCTCTGACCTCTTTGATGAGAAGTTTCCAATTGAAACAAAGAAATCCATGTTATTTATGTAAGATTCAAACCAGTTGAGCACTGGACCGGAGACTCGACCCAACTCTCCAGTTGATTCAGTAAAATGTCATGATCAACAGTGTCAAACGCTGCACTGAGATCCAACAGAACCAGCACTGTGGTTCTCCCACAGTCCGTATTGGTAACACTTTATTTGAAGGG